CAAAAAGCCATTCCCAAACCAAGCTTTTTAGCCCAGGCTAAAATAGCCAAAAAAGCCAAAAAGCCAAAAAGCCAACCCACTTCCCAAACGGAGGCATAATCAAACTCTTTTCAAAATTCTATTAAAAAAAATTTCAAAAAAATTATCTTTTATTTTGTCCATTAATATTATTTTTTATTTTTTTGAAAAAATATTTGAAAAAAATAATTTTTTTTATTTTTATTTTTGAATAAAATTATTTTCTTATTTTTTTATTTTTCCAAAAAATATTTTTTTGTTATTATTGGCCAAATAATTTGTTATGATTTAGATATATATGGTGATCCAATTTTTTTTTTAAATTAAAAAAAATTATATATTTGATAAAAGTAAAAAAATATTTAAAACATTAAAAAATTAAAATATTTAAAAATGTGTTTATAAAATAAAATAAAATATTTAAAATAAAAAACAAAAAAAAATATTTAAAATAAAAATTATATTTTTAACATAAGAAATTTTTTTAATTTTTTTTAAATATTTACAAAATGTATTTAAAATATTTAAAAAAATACAACACATAAATGTATAAAATATAATACATATTAAATAGATAAATAAATATTTAAAATACGAAATATTTATTCTAAAAAAATAAAATTAAGAAATTTTTTAAATATATAAAAAAAATAATTCCAAAACAATTTCAAAATATAACTCAAAAGTCTCTTTAAAACACATAACTAAATAATTTTTTTTTCAAAATTGATTTCACAAACGTAGCTTTCAAAACAGAATTTCACATTCAAATCATGATTTTAAAACTAAATCAAAAGGATTTCAAACCAGTTTGGCGAACAAATTTTTTAAAACCAGTTAAGGGCAACACAAAAATTACAAAATGTTTTGGGTAAATTATACTTATCTTAAGATTTAGAAATAAAAAAAAAATCTCACAATTATGATATATAATTACATAAACTTTTCTTTTATTACCAACCTAGTATAAATGATGTGGAGATGACAAAAATAAATAAAGTAAAATATATATTACAATACAAAAAGAAAAAGAAAAAAAAATGGCAATATCATTTTTTATCTATCTAAACAATGAATTACCGATAATTTTTTTTTTTATAAATTAAAATATTAAAGACTTTAATATATTATAAAAAAATTATGAGATTTATATTTTTCCTAAATATTAGGGATGTTAGCCAATGTTTTTTACACAGCCGTATTTTGACTTCTCTCTGAGCCGACACCGTAGTCCGAACTACTCGTCTCTGGAGACGAGACACATAAATTCACCACAATTCGCCGGACCGGAAATTCTCTCTTGGAAAATTCCCAAACCAAAAACCCTGATACTCGGACAACTCTTGCGCTTCAGGTTTGCCAATTTATACCAATTTTTGCTCATACAACTGTTGTAAGTTCTAGATTAGGTTTGAAGAATCGTTTTGTTTGAATGTGGAATGAAATTTGTATAGATACGTGTATAAATTTGTGATTGTCATGTGTTCGTATTTTTGTGTCACCGATTCTATCCTAGCTCTCTTGTGGTTTTGTGTTTGTTGATTGGCTCAACAAGGTGAAGTGTACAAGTTCTGTACCATCGGTGTAGTTGTAGCATCAGTCATGCATGGTTATGGTATTGATGGGAATCAACTGGTTCATGGCCAACATAATTTTTGAGGTATTGGTGGTGGTGGTTATATAAAAGGAGCATATTTAAACATTGGGTTTGGGTAATTTTGGTTTCAGAAAGAGTGAACATAATGATGTTTTTATTTTATGTGCAAGTTTATAATGAAGTAGGGGTAGAAATGCCGAGAGATAGGAAGAGAAGCTTGATAGAATGGAAATTCTTTGATGAAGAGGTTGAAGAAGGTCTGGATGGATGTTTTATGGGTCGATGATTCTTTACTCAATATATAAACCCAATTGCTGAGTGTCAATTCATTTGGCACTCTTCTACTTCTTTTTTTTTTTTGAAAGTCAACAAGAAATTTTGTTAAAGAAGAAAGTGTGCAGGACAAGAAGTCCTTATACAATGAACAAGAACCCAATCAGAATAAAAACAACTATCAAAAAAGAAAGAGAAAACAAGAAAATCCAAACACTAGGGGTTGCAAACAGCAAACCAATCCCCAGAAATCAAGAAAAGTGGAACTCCTTTAAACGGAGGAGACACAAAAGCCCAAAATGAAGCCAAAAAACCAGCCCTATCCCACAAAGAATCTACAGCAGTCTCTTTTCCATCAAAGATCCTTGAATTCCTTTCCAGCTAAATAATCTAAAAAATAGCACAAACAATACAAGACCACAAGGTTTTGGCTTTCTTAGAGCCGCTGAACCCATCAAACTTAACAAGAAGCATATGTGTGCAATCCCGTGGAGCAGCCCATTTAACATCACACAAACCAAATAGACACTGCCATAACTGCATAGCCACCGAACAATGAAGAAAGTGATGATCCACTGATTCCGAACTCCTCTTGCACATCACGCACCATTGAGGGCAAAGATAGTGATTAGGCTTTCTTCTTTGGAAAAGGTCATTGGTCATGACACCTCTATGAGCTAAGGACCACATGAAAAACTTCACTTTATGAAGAACACCCGCTTTCCAGATTTTCATATGAAGAGGAAACAAAGTAACGGAGGACTTATCAATGAGATTGTCAAACAAAGATTTACAAGAAAAGATCCTTGAAGAACTGATATTCCATACCCCTTTATCGGGAGATAAAACTAAGGAAACCCCATCAATCAATGTTAACAAAGATGCCAACTCAAGAGACTCCCTATCACTTAGATTCCTAAGGAAATTGAAATTCCAAGAGATTGGTGCTACATTAGAACATGCCACCGACGCAATTGACACATTTCGTGCATGAACCAATCGATATAAAAGTGGAAAAGCTTTGTCAAAAGATGTCTCCCCCACCCAAACATCCTCCCAAAATCGAATACTGGCCCCATCACCCACTTTCATAGACACAAATCGAGACACAATGGGAAACAAATGAGAGATAGACTTTCACGGAGAACGAAAATTGCCTCTGCTAACCACAATAGAACCTCTACCATTAGCCTGAATTCCGTACTTGCTTTTAATAATAGAACACTATAAAGACTTGTTTTCCTCGGAAAATCTCCACAACCATTTGCTCAAGAGGGCAATGTTTCTAGCAACAATGTTCCCAATAGCAAGACCCCCTTTACGCCGAGGAAGAGAGACAACCTCCCAACTGAGTAAGTGATCCCTCTTACCCTCATCACACCCCTCCCACAGAAAATCTCTCAACAATTTCTCAATTTGCCTTGCAAAACGAACTGGTATCTTGAAAAGGAACAAAAAATAAATAGGAATACAACTCAACACTGATTGTACCAAAGTGTATCTCCCTCGGTTACCTTGTTCCCTTTTCATAAGAAAATTTGGAAAGCGGGTGTCCCTCATAAAGTGAAGTTTTTCATGTGGTCTTTGGCTCAGAAGAGTGTTACAACTAATGATGTTCTCCTGAGGAGAAGGCCTAATCACTCTGTATGCCCCCAATGGTGTGTGATGTGCAAGAGAAACTTGGAGGTAGCGGATCATCTCTTTCTTCATTGCCCGGTGGCTGCTGTATTATGGCAGCGTCTTTTCAGGTTATGTGAAGTGCAGTGGGTTGCTCCACGGACCACGGGAGTGTATGCATATGCTTCTTATTCGGTTTGACGGGTTTGGAAGTACCAAGAAAGCTAAAACAATGTGGATAGGCATTGTTTTTGCTATTTTCTGGGTTATATGGTTGGAGAGAAATGTTCGAATTTTTGAAGGCAAGGAAGGAAGTGTAGAGGATTTGTGGGATAGGGTTGAATATTTGGCATCTTTTTGGGCATTTGTATCTCCTTCTTTTAAAGGAGTCCCTTTATTTTTGATCTCTAGGGATTGAGCTGCTGTTTGCCATCCTTAGGGTTCGAGTTTTGTGATTTTGTTTTGCTTTTTCTTCTTTTCTTTCTTTGTATGAGGACTTCTTGTCCTCTTTCTCTTTCCCGCTTTAATAAAATTTTGTTGTTATTCAAAAAAAAAAAAAGGCTTCTGTTTTAGGATCGCCACCCAATGGGAGCCCCAAATACTTGAGAGGGAACTTCTCAATGGGACGACCCAACACATCTGCCATACGAAACTCGCAACTACGCTCAAGATTAATACCCACAACACAGCTCTTAGTGAGATTGACCTTAAGACCGGATATAACTTCAAAGATCCTCAAAAGCATAAGTAGATTACAGATCATACTTTCCTCAGAAGAGAAAAATATGGTATCATCTGCAAACTGCAAATGAGTCATACTAATCAAATCGCTACCTACCACAAACCCCTCAATAACCCCCTTATTCCTAGCAACATCAATTAACCTCCCCAACACGTCAACCACTATGATAAATAAAAACGGTGATAATGGGTCTCCCTGCCTTAATCCCCGAGACGCATGAAAAGAATTGCTCGCTTTTCCATTCACAATAACCGACATATTGCACGATGACACACACCTCCAAACTCACTTCCTCCACCTAAAACCGAAACCCTTCCTTTCCAAAACAAAAGCCCTATTTGGTACAGTTTTTTTTTAGCTTATTTCAGCTTTCACCTTAATTTAAGCTATTTTGATGTGTTTGGTTTAGCTTAAGCTTATAGCTTATAGCTTATAGCTTTTGTAAGTCAGAAATCAGCTTATTCTTTGAGTGGGGCAGGAGAAGCTTAACTTATAAGTCAGAAATCAGCTTATGTTCATAGTTATAAGTTATAAGCTGTTAAGGTATAAGCTATAAGCACTTTTCCACAGCTCTACCAAACAGGGCTAAAGTCCAAAAAACCCCAATCCACATGATCATATGCTTTTTCAAAGTCTACCTTAAATACTACCCCTTCCTTATGTAACGCTCTATATTCCTCCACAACCTCATTGGCCACTAGGACCACATCCAAAATTTGCCTTCCATGCACGAAGGCGCCCTGTGAAGCAGAAATCGTTTCCCCAAGAACATCTCTAATTCTTTTGGACAGAACTTTCCTCAAAATTTTGTAAAGCGATGTAACCAAGCTAATGGGCCTGAAATCCCCAATCTTCACCGACTTCTCCTTCTTGGGAATAAGGCAAATGAAAGTTGCGTTGGTGCAAAGGTTAACCTCTCCACTCTCGAAAAATTCACCGAATACTCTCATTAAATCTCCTTTCACAACGTTTCAACAATCTTGGAACAATGCCATTGAAAAACCATCTGGGCCTGGAGCCTTATCTCTCTCACAATCAAACACAGCCTGACGCACCTCACACTCATCAAAAGGTCTCTCAAGCCATCTAGCTTTAGAGACATTAATTGGAGCCCAGTTGATGCCTTCAATCCCTGGCCGATCCACACCTCCATCAGAGTAAAGATTCGAGTAAAATTTGAAAATTTTATTCACAATTTGCTCTTCCCTATTCACCAATTACCCCTGATCAACCTCCAAACACTTGATAAAGTTTTTTATCCTTTTTCCTGACGCAACTCTATGAAAAAATCTAGAATTTATATCATCCTCCTTTGCCCATTTCAACTTAGCCCGTTGCCCCCAAAAAATCTATTCCCTAAAAACTGTCTCTTCTAGTTTCATTCGAAGCATGTTCCTTTCATCCCTCAAAGCCCTAGATAAACCCTCCCCAACGTCCTTGGCATCCAACTCCTCAATGCCTCTAACCAACTCCGCCTTTAACTCATTCAAATCACCAAAGACATTATGCTTCCAGACTTTCAAATTTTCTTTGACCCGTTTCAGCTTATGCATGAATTTAAAACTCTCCCACCCCTGGGGACTACAACTCTCCCACCAAACCTTAAAATAGCCCTTAAAAGAACGATCCTCCAACCATGCATTCTCAAACCTAAAGGGACAAAGACCCCATTTGAAGGGGCAACTCTCAAAAATCACCGGGCAATGATCGGACACAACCCTAGGCAATGCGTCTTGTCTAGTATTGGGAAACAACCCTTCCCACCCCAAGGTATGAAGGAACTTATCCAATCTACAACACACAAGATTTTCTTGAAGGTTAGACCAAGTAAATCCTATGTTACATGGACTCGGGTACGGGTGTCAGGTGCGGGTATGTATCTAGAGGTCGGACTCATCAAATCATAAATTTAAGGATAAGCGAACTCGGCAAAAAAATGTCATATTTTTATATTTTTAATCTAATATGTGAGATAAAATGGTATTATATGTAACTTATAGTGTCAAAATGACATTTATAGCAATTATATAACAATATATACATATAATAATAGTGTTATATACAATTATATAAGAAGTATCCGTTGAAAAGTATCCGACACATATCCCATACCCTTGTCCGAGTGCCGGGTGTCCGACACGGGTATTTGATTTAATTTGAAGAGTCCATGTAACATAGAGTAAATCTAGCATTGCTCAAAGGAAGATCAATCTATTCACCCTCCCTAATGAAAGAATCTAAATCCCTCATGCTTCTATTGGAAGAAGTCCCATTAAGCTTTTCAGACACGAGTCTAACCACATTGAAGTCACCCTTCAGAACCACTCTTTTGTCAAAGATCAATTTTTTGTGAACTACTTGGTTTCTAGTAAACGTAGAAACTTACTAAATTGCTTCTCAACAAGAAATTGCTGATGGATGACATGAACAAGAACAAATAATTCAAAGTGATCTTTCATAGGGCCATCCCAAACTCACTCTCGAATTTGCACTAGTTGAAGGTTATATGGGAGAAAGTTGTTTAAGATGGTATGGTTTTCCACAATGAAGGTACTCGACTTTACTATATGGCCATGTCAGTCAATCGGATTGTATGGGGAGTAAGAGTGGGAGACCAGCCCTTCATGTTTTTTTGGGGGTTAAGAAATACCATCCCCCTGTATTTCTTGTTCCCCTCCATGGGATAAGATCCCATCTTCCATTCAATGGCTAGATTCTAGAAGGGCGAGAAATAATCCTCTCTTTTTATCCCCTGCTTTATCAAACCCTAACCAAACATAATGAAAGTGTTCCCTTTGTATATTATCCCAAGTATTACTAATCTCATCCATAATCCCTAGGCATTACTTATGTCCCTTGATCTAATCCCGGGAACCAATTGAGGCCTGTAAGATAAGGAGTGATGTTATTTCAAAGGCTATGATGAAAAGGGATGTCTCATGTCTTGAAAGAATATGAACAGTTTTTAGTAGAGAAATTATCGTGTTGAGCATCAGATTTGGCTTAGATAGAGGGCTATGACTGAATATAATGATGTGGTATACAAAAAACAACTGTAATAGTGTGTGGTACTTGAATTAAACCATATAAGGTAAGACTCAAGGGGAGAGGATTTGGAGCAATGAAGAATATTTTTTGTTTGCTAGATTTTCTATTTTTAATGTTTAATTTAGCTATCTTATTTTTAGGATATTTCTGTAAGAAGTCTCCCCTTTGTAGTTAAAATATGGTGTGCCAAGATGTTATTTTCACACTGAAAACTTATGTTTTTTTTCCATTAGTTTGCTCATGCTATACAATACTTTATTGGCATCTCCATTGCCACTCTATCTCCATTCACATCCTTTTTTTTTCTTCTTCTTTTTATTATTGGAATAATCATAGAATTATTGTTTATGTGTAATATTTACAGCTTATGGATAACAACTATGATCAGCCGCTCCCTCCTGGAGTTCAATCCCTTCCAATTTCTTCACCATTCTCTGCTTCTTTGAATCCTTCCACCCAGCATCCTCCTCATCCATTTCAAGTCTATGACAAACCTCACTACAATGCTCATTTTTCTCAAAATCATCTGTTTCCCGTTCCAACTTCCCATGCAGCCTATTTTCCCCCCTCTCAAAGCTTCTATCCACATGTTAGGCCATCCACTCATTTTGATCATGCTCCACATGCCCCTCAGTTATCATATCCAACCCAAAATCACTTTCAGAATAGCAACTATTTTCAACCTGGCATCCCAACCCCTCAACCCTTCAGACAGGATATTGGGATTGTGCACGGGTCAGTGCAGCCTGATGTGAAATGTGATGGTTCTCAGCTGTGCACAGAAGAAAGTCTTCTAAGTGATGGTGACAAAAGTTTGCTTCAGTTAGCTGATTCCAACATCTCCACCAAACAGGAAAAGGAACCAGATGCTTCTGAGCAACAAGTAAAGTTTAGCAATATAAATCAGGGGACCCAATCTGGAGAACTTGGGTGTTCTGTACCATTGGTTGCTCCTCAAGGTGAGTTGTCAAGTGATTTAGAGCTACATGCTAGAACAATGACAAAAGCACCTTCAGATAATTCACTAATTTTATTTTGAATAACCATGTTTCTGTAATTGACAAAGTGGAAGTTCCTCTACTTTTTATTTTTTATATTTTGGCTCAGTTTGTATGCAATTTGATAATCATCTTTCACAAATGAATACAACGTTTCCCCAGATGGTCCTGATGCGTCTGCCAGCTACCCGAGGCTACATTTGGAAAGTGCCAGCAGCATTGAAGCTTCTGCTCAGGATGCTGTGTTACATGAACAGGTATGTCTTTTAAAAATATGCTTTGTTCACATGTTCCATTTCTTTCTTTCCTTTTTTAAATTGATTTGACTGATATACCTTTATCTTTAACAATCAGGAAATTGCCACCCAGAAAATTATTCAAAGCCAAAGGTGCATTTTGATTTTCTTTTAATGAAACATCTACTTATTTTTGTATCAGTAGATGCTGAAAACAGAAAGATGCAACTCTCATGTGTATTTATGTGTTATCACAGACATGCAAGAGGTGCAAGTGGACCACCTGAGGATGATACAGACATCTTCTCAGGACGTCTTGACCCGAATTCTCTAAAGGTACTGAGATTTCCCTTTTTTGTTGCGGCAGGCAACCTCCTACGTGAACTCATTTTTTATAGTCTTTTATTCTGATGCATTAATACATGCGTCAAACTTTTTATCAGGAGCATCTATTGAAGATGACCACAGAGCACCGTGCAGAAATGGCCCTGAAGCGTGGCAGATCTACCATCCCTGATGAAGGTTGATTTTTTAGTTTCCTTTAGTAGACACAATACTGATTCATATCATATATCTTTTTCATACATAAATAAGGATTTTAGAGGCCATTTTTTTTATAATAGGTAAATGTAGAATCCACTGGAAGTGCCAAAATGCCACAACTTTTGTACATTAGGAGTGTACAAAGACCAAAAACAAAAAACCATCAACAAAAGCTAGTTTAGATTTGCAATCAATTATTTCTTAGGAAAAATTTAATTTGTCCCCTTGTGATATTGCGTAGAACACTTCACAGCCCTGACATTTGCAAATAACCAAAAGTCCTACCCACTTTGCTTGTTTTTGGTTTTCCAAAAACACTTTTCAAAAAATTCTAGGTTGCGTTTGGTAGAGCTTTCTAACTATGATTTGAGAGTAGGAGTTGTATTTTGAGTTTGCGAGTTTTGGAATTATGATTTGAGTGTGAAAAATTTGTTTGGTGAAAGAGTTTTGAATTGTGTGGGAAATTTTTGATGTGACATATGATATTTGATATAAAAATTTACAATTCATAACCAAACATACAACTCAAAATTCTATTAAAACATATAATTTTTTTTTTTAAAAATTCGGAAAATATTTCTTTTTGAATATATAATAATTAACATATGTCAATTGCAAAAAAAAAAAAAAAAAAAAAAAATTGCACTGTTCTTGTCAACCGGTCGGACGACTGGTGGGACGTTTGGTGGGACGACCGGTTAGCCCAAATTTTCCCGCCTTTGACAGAGTTTTCAAAACTGAGTGTGGAATTAACTTTGGAAACCATAAACAAACATCGAACGCAAATAAAGAGGTGAAATAATAGTTTGAAAACTATTCCAAACAGAGCCCTACTTTCTTGTTTTTCATGTTTTTTTTTTTGTTTTTGTTTTTACTGAATGTTTTTAATATTTTAAGTTTTTTTTTTTTAAAAATTTTTAGACACACCTAACATAAATACACATAAAAAGTATAATTTTTGTGAAAAAAATCTTTTAAAAATTCACTAAATACCAAAAATACAAAAAAAAAAAAAACTAGATTTCAGTATATTTTTCGTATTTTTATGTATTTATTAATTTTTTAAAAATATTGTGTCACAAATTTTTTATTTTTTAGATACATCTAAGTAAGGTGCATCTAAAAAAGAAAAAAAAAATGCTTAAAATTTTAAAAATATTCACTAAAAACAAAAAACAAAAAACACGAAAAACAAAAAATTTAGTTTTTAAAAAACTTAATTCAAAAAACTCAAACCAAACATGCACATTGTGATTTTGGATCATTATGCATTTTACCTCTCCACCATTACTAATTCCTTCCAAATTGACGAGAATTGTCCCACATGCACCTAATTGAGAGTTGACATGAAAATAAAAAAAAAGAAGTCAAAATAAAATGTAAAAGGACAAATATGCCCTTATCTTATCTTAATCTTCTTCCCCCAAAACTCTTAACCCTAAAAACCCTAAAAGGAAAAACTTCATCTTCTTCACTCCTCTACCAGCCACCTCCTTGCCACTACCTCTCCCTCTCTCTCTTCTTCTACCTTACTGCACTTCCATCTCAGAATCTTTCTTACTATATTCCAAGGTCAGTGATGGAAGCAATAGTGTTTGTTTGCAACTCCATGAGTTCCTTACATGTAAAGCTATATATTCTAATTGGTACATATTAAATCCTAACAAATTCTGTAATTGTATTGGGTCCGTAACATTATAGTCATTGTGTTTGATCTAAGCATCTCATATCACTTTATAGTTTAGTAAGTTTTTGCTTTTTTGTCAGGCAATGTGGACATTGGCAATGGATATGGTGTACCAGGTGGGGGTGCTTATTCTAGTGCTCCAAGGCCTTATACTGTTACCCCCAGTAAGACTATATAATAATATGAGTACTTGTTTATTCTATTACCTATATTCTAAAATAGGTGAAGATTTCATGTATTGTTTACCTTTTGGGTAAATCTGGAGTTGATGGGCATGAAACAGGCAAGGAAATCCCTGTGGTTGATGGAGAGTTGGGACAGAGGGCTGCTGCCAAGGAGTTGCCTGAGTACCTAAAACAGAAGTTGAGAGCAAGGGGTATTCTAAAAGCTGAGCTGGCTAAAGAGGGTTCTGCTATGACTGATAATGCAAGTAGCTTTCTCTTATGTGGTTTCTTCTTCTTCTTCTTCTCCCTGCCTCCGCCCTCTTTTCCCAACCCTTTGCCTTGTGTTTTTAGGTGTTTCTGTGAAGCTAAATCCTTGGGTGAAGCCGCGATATTCTTGTTTTATACTTTTAAATAAATTATTCTTCTTGTTCTTAATTAGTTTTGATATCCTTTTCACTTTTAAACTACAATATTGATGGGATCTGTTTTCCGAACAATCTTATTTAATTACTTTGTTAATAGTTTCCCTGAAAATTTACATTTCAGAAGTCAGAGACTCCATCAACCCAAACCATAGCACTTGGGGAGTTGCCTCTTGGATGGGTGAGTTTGAGTTTCTATTATTCATATGTATAATTCTTGTATATGTTTTAGAGTGGACCTGTTTTTAATCTCTAGACCAATTGGAATGGAACAGTGTGGGTGTAATAGAAATTTGTATCATAAATAATACAGCTCTTGAGTTTGACAATTTAAGTTCAAAAGAGCCTTGAAAATAAGTTGGAAATAATGAAAAAAACTTAATCTTCTTGAAACTAGGGAAACTAGAATATCAATCATTGATTCGTCGTTGTTTCCAAAGAGAAATTTTAAATATTTGAGAAACTTACTAGAGAATAATCACTAGAATTATGGAAAATTAGATCATAAGTTTCTTGGCTGTAGTGTGGATTCTCTTTGGTTGTGTCAAGAATGTCATGTGAGATAGAGGTTATCAAGAAAATTAATTGTTGTTAAGGAAAAGCTGCTGCTTTGAATAATTCTTTGATTAACAATAAGTTCATTTGCTAACATGAGGATGTTGAGATGGGGTACTTTTACAGTGAAGGAAAGAATAAGAAATGATTAAATTTGTGTAAAATTAGTTGTGCCCCAATTTAAATATAAAATGAAAAAGTAGCTTGAGATGGTCTAATGATGTGTAACCTAGACCAACTAACATATTGTTGCAGAGGACATACTTGATTCATGCTAGGAAACACGGACATAACATGAAACAAAAAGATTTTCAAGGTTGGTTTTATAATTAAGAATTAGTATTTGGAAAATGTTTTAGTCGAACATGAAAAGTATCATTAAGTGCGATGGATTCTGGATGAATAAGTTATCTGAAATCTTGACAGTACTTTAACAGTGGGAACAAATATGTAGGGGCAAGTATGGAAAATTCAATTTGAAGAAAAAAGAAAGAAAAACTGTAATTTATTGGTCTTTAAAGTTATGACAGGTTGATGTGAAATCATCTTTTTAACCTTTGTGGATCATATTATTTTGCAAGATTTGGTTTTATTTTTTCATTTTTTATGTTTGAGTCACATGAGTTTATTTAAGTGCTTGCTTAATCTTAAGATATTATTTAGCTTGCTTAATCTTAAGCTATTTTATGCTTTATTTCTTATGTTGGTTTTATTTACTTGAAACGTCTTTCTTCCTATCACTGTTGATTGCATTTCTTTTGTTCTGATATTCATTTCTATAAATTTCCATGTAGGTTGAGGTAAAGGACCCTGCAAGCGGTGTGCCATATTATTACAATGAAAGTTCTGGGAAAAGTCAGTGGGAAAGACCTGTTGAGACAGGTAGTAGCTTAAAGCCTCTGCCACCTTTATCACTTCCAGAAGATTGGCAGGAGGTATTGGATGAAACGTCAGGTTTGCCTCATATATCTGTTTCCTTTGTTGTTCTTTGAATACATAATGTGGAAAATGGTGAAAAGAACACAGATCAGAGCTGTGTGAAGGCCATGCAATTCTTTGTTGTTGACCTTTTGAATTAATTGTTTTATATTCACTGTCTTCTTCAGAAGCTTGGCATATTGTTGGTTGATGTTCTAAAGTATTTACTAGTGGTTTACTAGTGGTTGACGATTTTCTGATGGATTAAATCTTTGTGTCAATTTAATTTTCTGAGTGGCATTGTTTACCCTTCTAATTACGAAGGTAGTTTAATAACAATAAAGTGACAAAAAAGAAGATAACCCTATACACGAAATTCCTTGACTTGCAAACAGTGAAGTGGCAATCATTAAAGATTATGAATATTCTTTTTCCATGGATAAATTATATGTTAGTGAAGTTGTTGAACTGATAACCAAAACAATTGAAAGAAATAGAAGGGAAATTATTGAAGTGTGACTGGGTGATTAATCTAAGGATGGTGCTGTTGAGAGTGTCAATGTTCCATTCAGTCAGTCTTAGAACTAGAAGATGATGAGAGGTTTTTTATTTTTATTTTTCATTCCATTTTCCTCACTAGCTTCCATGTTAATTTGCAAAGCTGTTTATGCTATTAAGGATAAGGTACAATATGCATTACCTAATGCTTCTAAAGATTGAAGACCTGTGTCGATGCTGGGTCTTTAACTCTTTAGATTATTAGTTGCACTACATTCCCTTCTCTTAATTTAGATGTCTTTAATCTACAGGTCACAAATATTACTACAACACAAAAACCAATGTATCACAATGGGAGCACCCTAAGTCATCACAGCAGGATGACTCACAACATTCTGACAGCATTGATTCCAAAGATGCAGCTAATGGGATTTGGAGTGATCAGTTATCCATGCTAACCAAATGCATGGGGTGCGGTGGTTGGGGAGTAGACCTTGTGCAGTTGTGGGGTTACTGCAATCATTGTACACGGTTTGGTGATCCCTCTTATTTGTCACAAGCAATCTTTTGCTTATTTTCTTTCCTCTCTCACTCTTGTTTGCCACGTAATTACTTGAATTATTTGATAATAGAGGGGCAAATAATGTGTGTAATTGCAGCATAGCATGAGGAGTTAGGTCGGCAATGTGAATGCAAGATGATGTCTGTGATATGTTTTACCTTACACCAGATAGAACATATCTTCTCTTCCACTTATCTCTGACCCTCATCTCATATGTGTTGCTATACTCATCATTACTATCATTAGTACCATTCTAGTTATTATCCTTGTCACCGTCCTCGTCATCATCACCACTGTGATTATCATTATTATTATTTTGATTTAGAAAAGGATACTGCTATTGCATTTTAATTAAATTCCATTTCAACTGTAGAGTTCTCAATCTTCCTGAAAGCAAATTCTTGTCAGCTAGTATAGAAAACCAACAGCGGACCACTAATTCTGCAAATTCTAATGAAGATTCAGAGAAGAGGTTTTCCAAGCAGAGGTATTGTAACTTCCTTTGAAACTCCCAATTTTGCATGTCTGCTTCCTGAGCATCCACTGTAAAGTACATGTTTGAAATGCTTCCGATTCAATAACAAAGGGATTACCAATTTCATGGGCATTTTACAACGTTGAATTTGTGTTACTAGAAAACGCTAATACCCTAGCGAATTTCGTATTGGTATGCACGCTCCGAAACATGGTACACTTCCGTTCCAAAATGGTAAATTTAGTGATCCGAAACGATTCCGTTAGTTTTTCCAATATATTAGGAGGAAAAAAAACAAATATAATGGACTAAAATTTAAGGTGAGTTAAGTTTTGACAAAAAACATAAAAAATGGGTCGTAATGCTTATGGAAATTTTTTTTTGGGGGATAAATTTATAGAAATGTTTTGCTACATAAAAAAAATAAAAAATTACATTTTATTGGATACTTATTAGTTGAAAGAAAATTCCTCTAAAAGTTCCTTAAATTCTTAAGTGTAATATATACAAGCTTACCCCTACCGTACCATATTTTAGCGCATGTGGTGTACTATGTTCCCATTTCTGTTCCACGTACCAAAATGATCCATATTCTAGGTAACATAGCGATGAATATGGAGGGCCCATAGGTTGATGGTTAGGAGGTGCCAGGCTCTCTTGAAAAAATATATATATATATAAATTTATATATAAAACTTGGCGAGCTTATGATCTGACATATTTGATTGATTTTTGGGTTTCCAGGTCCAGTTTGAAACCCCCTATTGGAAAAGGCAAAAGAAGCAAGAAGCGTGACTACGACGACGATGATGAGTTGGATCCCATGGATCCAAGCTCTTACTCAGATGCCCCTCGCGGTGGCTGGTATGCTATACACATTTCACTTGACAGATGTGGCACCTCTCTCTCTCTCTCTCGTTAACATATGTGCACTGGACAGTTTCTTATACAGTTTAAGGCCCTATATTTGGCATATATAATCTGGAAGTTTGCTCTGAGGCTCTGAATTGTTTTGTAATTTCATCTAATTTTGCAGGGTTGTAGGCCTGAAAGGAGTACAGCCACGAGCAGCAGATACCACTGCCACGGTACATTAACATTCTTTTAGTTAATAAATCTATTGCTCTGAAGCTACTAAAGATGTCTGCCGCCTTCTTGTAAATGACAATCATATCGGTGAAATCAGATCTTTTCACAATTTTATAATTTGTGCTTGTTGAGGTTTTGTAGTGGACATGTGGGAAATGTGTTGGTCTCATATTAAAACATGTTTTTGATCAATACATAGGAAGTGAATTGGAAATGCCTGGAAATTGCTTTATAAAATAGTTGGGAAGTTTGGAAATTTTGAAATTGCTAGGAATCTCTAGTAAAACAGTATGTCACCTCTGAATTTCTCTTTTTCTTAAACAAGTTCTTGATTTATGGTATTCTCAGACAATTAAAAGCTTGTTTTCTGACCAAAAGAGGACTCATGCTTTAAACTGAATTGCTCATGTCTCTGTGAATTTCAGGGTCCTCTCTTTCAGCAGCGCCCTTATCCGTCCCCTGGAGCTGTCTTGCGAAAAAATGCTGAAATTGCTTCACAGAAGAAGAAACCCAAGTCCCACTTTGCCCCTATATCCAAGAAAGGGGATGGGAGTGATGGACTTGGTGATGCTGACTGAATGAGGTGAACCATGTGATATCAATGGGGTAAATTTCAACTATGCAAATGCTGTTTCAGTCAAGTGGTGTGAGTGTATATCTTCTTTTTTTCATGTGATATCGTTGGTGAAAATTTCAACTTTTCGTGATGATGAAGCTCTCATGCCTTGTGATTATTTTCAGTGATCCAGTTAAAGTGAGCAATTCCGAGGTTGAATAGCGTATGTTTAGTGAGGGGCAAGAGTTCAAGACAAGTGCTTGAAGAGTAAGAGATATATACCAGGGCACACATCTTCAGTTCTGGGTGGAATTATAAACCTTGTTCTCTATCTTCTCATTTTAACGGGCAGAGATTATAGAAAACTGTCAATAGGTAAAGGAGTCCGTAAATTTTTGTTCCCATCACTATCAAAAAATACATTAGCTTGCAAATTTTTTTATAGTTTAACGGGGAATTTGGATTTATTGTGGAAAAAGAGAAATTCCATCGCGTTTCTAAAGCAATGACTACCTTATGCAACACTTGTCTATAGACTGAGTAGAAAAATTTGTGATATTTTATGATCTGTCAACATGTAAATCTTTTTGACTCAATACATAATTTTGTTGAGAGATATCAGAATTTTTTTATTTATTTGTTTGATTGTGTTGTTATCTTTCTGAATCAACTTATGTATAGTTCTCAAAAACATTTGAAACTGAATGATGCGAGTTTGTCGTGACAAGCTTGCCACAAGAAATCAAGCAACAAAATTTCCATTTTTTGTTTTGTTTTTTTTTTTTTTTCACCCAAAAAAAATTTCCATTTTTTGAAATGGCTTAAAAGATTCTAACTTCTAAGAAATCGAAACAAAACATTCAAGGAATATCGAAGTCCGAATGTTTTTACAAGAACATGCCAAATTGCACTGAAGCACTTAGAAACATATTGAAAATTGAGTTGTTTTGACGCCTATTTAATAATTTTTATTTTTATTTGCCATTTTTGTCAAAAGAAAATATTTGAGAATAGAGAAAAATATTTTATTAGAGGATTTGAGAAACTCAAACTCAAAAGGACAAAAGGAGAAATAATCTGAGTCACTTATTAATTTAATTTTGAATCTTTTAAATAATTTTTATTATAATGGCAAACATATTACCAAACTAAACTTTTAAACATTTGGTTTATGTACTTTTAATAATCATAAATTTTAGTATGTTGAATTAATTAATTAATTATTGAGAATGTATTAACATTTACATAAGTTGTAGATTTTGTTTTCAAACATTTTCAAATTGTTTATGAACTGTTTTGGAAATATTTCTATTTCTAAGTTAACCGAAACAAGATTTTGATCATTGGAGAGATTTTGAAAGGTAGAAGAAAGAAAGACAGGGGAAAGCCGATGAAGAGTGATTCGGATTTTGATTTTCTATTTCAAAAAGTTGCAAAACATTTTCAAAATTGAAAATAATTAGTCTTAAAACTTTTTTCTAATTGTTCTTAAATTTAAAATAAATCTTTATTGATTTTATTGATGATATGGATACATTGTGAAATGAAATTTTCATTCCACTCGTGAAATAGAGAGCATGTGGATTATTCTAATTTAATAGTTTGAACACATTTGCTAACTAGTTCAACGTGTTCCGCTAAGTCAGTTAAAAGCAACACAAGATTCTTATCCAATCGATACTTTTTTTTTTTTTTTTGGAACGAATCATGAAATCAATAGCTGAAGTGTGACTATTTGACTTACATGACTTTATTGGGGGTACAAATGAGTGTGGGCTGCCCACCAAAAAATATGTGGTTTTTTTTGAATGAAGGGAAAATTATTATGTAGTTTTATGTAGGGGTTCTATTTCCCTTCTAATCTCAATATATTTTTAATATATTAATAGGTCTATAGTTTTTTAAGTTTTGTACCTGGAGGTCTTGTTTTTATTTTCTTATTTTTTAAATGACTGTATTACTCTTTGTTTTGAGATCTATATATATATGTGAAAAATCAAATATTTGCCTCTGCGATCTCGATTTCTCTTCGTTATGGCGATCTCTTTATGCTGTGTGGTCGATCTCATTGTGCTGTGAGATGGATCTGATTGTGCGATCTGAATTTCTGTGTGTAGGCGATCTTTGCGTACGTTCTCTCTGTGTGTGTGTGTCTGTGTCTCACTCTGTTTGTATCTATTGATACATATATGTATGTATATATAGATAAGCAAATTTGCGTGATATCTGGTTTCTGTTTGGCAATGTTGTTATGGTTCTTTGTTTTGTGATAAATTTTGTTAGTTTGATACTTACTTTGTGATTTTTGTATGTGATATAGTGTAATGATTTTGATTTTAAATTTGTTGATTTTGTTTGTTGTATAGTGTAATGTGTTTTGAAGTTGTAGTTTGGAATTGTGAATTCTGATGTTTTGATACTGATAAATTGTAACTGTATAATTTTGCAGTTTGGAATTGTGAATTGTGCTGTGTTGGTACTGATATGTTATAACTGTATAATTTTGTAGTTTGGAATTGTGAATTGTGCTGTGTTGGTACTGATATGTTATAACTGTATAATTTTGCAGTTTGGAATCTGTGAACAATTGTTTGCCGGTTTGTGATTTTGTAGTATGGAGGAGTGTTTCATGTTAATGTGTAAATACAGTAATTCTTGTGTTGCTATTAAGATTAGTGAGGGATGTAGTTATCATGAAATTGTTAAGAAAATATCTGCGAAGTTCAAGGAGTTGAGTGTTGGTAACTTTTGTTTGTTTTTCTTTATTCCCAGATATTCTAATTGTATTGTTGAATGTGATGATGATTTTGGGGAATATGCTGTCAATGATAGGTTGTAGTGGTTCTCATGTTGTTAATGTTGTTGTGGGTGATAAGAGAATTGTGGAGGTTGATGATAATTCTTCTAGGATTGATTTTGTAATTTGTGAGAGTTCTTTGGTTAACGGTTGTGATGATTTTGATGGTTTGTTGCCTAGTTTTTATCCAGAACCAGAGAGAGTTTTGTTGTCTGCTAGTTGGAAGGGGATTATACATAGTGTTGGTCAAGAATTTGAAGGTGGAGTGCCGGCGTTCCGCATTGCATTGGCTAAGTATGCAGTTGAGTGTGATTTTGCAGTAAATTATTTGAAGAATGATGTAACAAGAGTAACTGCTAAATGTATGATGAAGTCCTCTACGGGTTGTAAATGGTTTGTGCATGGAAGGGTGTTGATGAATTCCGGTATTTTTTTTATTATGAAGTTGGATAATGTGCATACTTGTGGGGTTGTTGCTCGTAAATCTTGTAGCAAAATGTTGGTTCTAGACTTGTGTCTGATATTGTGCATAATGATATTAGTGATAATCCGTTGACTCGTCCTATTGAAGTTAAAAAAAAGTTGAAGAAGCAATATGGTATAGATGTTTCTTATCAGGTTGCATGGTTAGGAGTTGATAAGGCAAGAGGTCGGTTGTTTAGTGATTTTGCAACTTCTTTTGACCAACTTCGATGGTACCTTGAGACGGGTATGAGAACGAATTTGGGAAGTGTGTTTGAATTAGATGTGGATGAAAGTAGTGGGTGTTTTTGGAGGTTGTTTGTGGCATTTAATGGATGTTTGTATGACTTTCAATTTTGTCGTCCATTGTTGTTTGTTGATAGTATATTCTTGAAGGGGCTTTATAAGGGACATTTGCTTGCAGCAACATTAAAGGATGGTAATCAAGGTATGTATTTATTTGCAGTTAGTATAGTTTTGGTTTGTTAGTGTGTTATTGTATTGTGAGTCTGCTAATTTTTACAGTTTCATGTTATTTTGTTTGCAGGTCTGTTTCCTTTGGCTTTTGCGATTGTTCACGCTGAAAATCAAGATAATTGGATGTGGTTCTTAAATCAGTTGTCAAAGGCTGTTGGTTCAGGTCGGAGATTGACCTTTGTGTTTGACCGTCAACATGGATTGCTAGACGCTCTTTCAGTGGTTTTTCCCAATGCACATCATGCATGTTGCTTGAATCATTTGAAGAGAAATTTGATTGACAAATTGGTGGGACTTCGTACTAACTATAAGTGGACCAATGCATTTTTTAGAGGGAAACGATATAGTAAGATGTCATCTAATGCTGCCAAGTCTTATAATAATTGGATTGGTGGGGCCCGTGAGTTGCCTATTACTTGTATGGTTGATATGATTAGGATTTAAATAATGACTCAATTGTCTAATAAAAGAGCTGAATCTAAAAGATGGACTACGAAATTGTGTCCAGTTATGGAAAAGAAGTTGGTGGACTCTTTGAAGCTAGCTAAGTCTTGGGATGTGATTGTTGCTAGTGATACTGTGCTTGAGGTTCATTCTTCTATTTCTTTTTATGTTGATATTGGTAGACAGACTTGTTCTTGCCATGAATGGCAATTGAATGGTTTTCTTTGTTGTCATGCTGTGCATGCTTTGCGTAGTAGTGGTAGAGATGTGTATGATTTCATTGATCTTTTTTTCATGTAGATTGTTTTAGAGAGTCATACAAGGAATCTGTTTATCTAGTGCCTTCAAGTGAGAGATTTGACTTTGATAGTGCCGGTAGTTTGATTATCAAACCTCCTATAACAAAGAAGCAGCCTGGGTGGAACAAGAAGAAGAGGATACCTTCTAGGGGTGAGAATGTGAAACAAATCAAGTGTGAGAGGCTTTTGAAATATGAGAATCACAATAAGAAGACGTGCAAGGCTGTTATTTGAGGCCATAGTCTATTCTTTTGGATTGGTATTTGAATTTGAGAAATTATGATAATAAAAAATGTGATACTTGGTATTATGGAAGTAATGAATAAAGTTGGTTGTATTATTTTTTCTTTTTTGATGTGTTCTTTAGTTATTGAAGTTGTTTTGTAACAGTTTTGTTTTGTTTTGTTTTTTTTTTTTCGTGGATTTGGTTGGTTTTATTTTTATGGAATGCTGAGAAGGTTGTTGAAAATTTTCTTATTGAAACTGTAGGATATTGAAATACAGTTTTACTACATGATATATTTATTTCATATTTCGTAGTGACAAAACTGTAAAATTTTACAGTTTTATTTTCAATTTTGAAATGCAGTTCATCTATTTGTCGAGTCATGAAATTAGATGCATAATTGTGTAGCATAATTTTTGTTTTTGTAATGAAACTGCATATTTTTGCAGTTTGAAGAATTATTAGAAATAACTTTTACTGTATGAAAATATATGCAACCACAAATGTGATGACAATAATAAGCAGAAGAACACAAACAAGTATAATAAGCACAAGAAGAAGAAGAACAATAATAATAACAAGAAGAAGAGCAACAACAACATCAATGACAACAATCATTTTCACCATAATAACCACAAGAAGATCAATTCCCAAAAGCATATAAAGTACTTGTCACATGTCACATGTTAAAAAAAAAAAAAGTACAAAAATATGTTCATTTGAATATTTGTATTGTCAAGAAGTTTGTTCATTGTTTCTATGGTTTGGTATGTTTTGTCAACATTTGGTAGTGCTCGAGTTTCCAAGATCGGTTCTTATCATTGAGAAATTGACTGATAATTTCTGCTCGAAATTTGACCCACTCAGTTGGTCGAAGTGATTTCTGCACAGGTTGCTAGTTGATATATTGG